GAACTTGGAATGGACCAGGGTGGGAGCGTTTATACTGGAAATCAGCCAATGCTACAAACCAGGTTCTCCTCTTCCCTTGTCCCCTAGGGCCAGTTTGCCAGCACGGCAACCTAGAACCATGGTGTACATGTGGGTACTGCCTAGCCTGGTTAGTGAGTCCATTCAGTAAGCACTGATCTAGTACATCAGCTAGGCGGCTGACTCTAAGGCAGTGGTTCTCAACCTTCCTAAGGCCGTGACCCTTTAATACAGTTCATGTTGTGGTGACCCCCAACCATAACATTATTTTCGTTGCTACTTCATAACTGTAATTTTGCTACTGTTATGAATCGTCATGTAAATATCTGATATGCAGGATGTATTTTCATTGTTACAAATTGGACATAATTAAAGCATAGTGATGAATCACAAAAACAATATGTAATTATATATGTGTTTTCCGATGGTCTTAGGCGACCCCTGTGAAAGGGTTGTTCGACCCCCAAAGGGGTCGCGACCCAGGGGTTGAGAACCGCTGCTCTAAGGTATTAGGTAATGCGCTTGGGATAAATGAATGAAAGATGCAGACACAGACCTTGCTCTTGCGGAGTTAACAATCTAGTGCAGTGATGGCGAGCCTTTTGACCTCGGCGTGTCAGCATTTTGAAAAACCCTAACTTAACTCTGGTGCCGTGTCACATATAGAAATTTTTTGATATTTGCAACCATAGTAAAACAAAGATTAATATTTTTTGATATTTACTTTATATATTTAAATGCCATTTAACAAAGAAAAATCAACCAAAAAAATGAGTTCGCGTGTCAACCAAAAAAAAGAGGTTCGCCATCACTGATCTAGTGGGAAAAACAGAAATGATGTTAACACCGTCAATTCCATTGTGAGTAATACCACAAAGGAAAAATACAGTTGACTCTTAAACCACATGAGTTTGAAATGTGCGGGCCCCATTATACATGGATTTTTCCCAATAAATATATGGCCCTCTGTATCCACAGGTTTCTTATCCGAGATTCAACCAACTGCGGATCAAATAAACAGCATTGTTACATGACCGACCTGTGTTCTCCAACTGTGGATCAAATATACTGCTTTTCTCTCCGCAGTTGGTTGAATCTGTGGATGCAAAGGGCCCACTGTCGTTAAGTTTTGGGGGAGTCAAAGTTATAGTTGGTTTTTTTACTGCCTCGGGGTCAGCACCCCTAGACCCCAGTGTTGTTCAAGGGTCAGCTGTATAGGGTGCAGCAGCCACTCACCCTGTCTGTCTGACCTGCAGCTCAGTTCTCGAGCATTTTTAACAGAGAAGCAAAGCATAACTGCCTGCTATTCTCTCGGTGCTCACAGCTCCACGCAGCATTTCCCATCAATAATAGGCCACTTTTTCAGCGCCAGGCCGGCCACTTTGTGGGTTCTCAGAGAGGTTTTCAGCCTTAGGGGTGAGAACCACAGCGCCTCCTGAGCAGTCTCAGCAAAGCCAGCCTCCTCCTCCACTGCACCTGGCCAGGCCAGCTCCCTGCCTCTCTTCTGCTCCCCAGGACATCATCGTTTCCATGGGAACCAACTCACTTCAAAGGGAAAGGAAGGAGACTGGAGGGGAGGAGGGAGTGTGGAAGCTGAATTAACCTCCCCTTTTGGCCCTTCTCTGTGCTGCTGGCAACCTCACTGCCAGGTCCCAGGCAACACCCGTCCGTCTGTCCGCCAGCACAGGCATGGGGCCACGGCTCAAGCTACACTTTAACTTCTTGGGGGAAAATCTTGGAGTTTCGGTGGGGGCTGAGGAAGGAGAGAACTGAGTGGGTCCAAGCCTGCGGTCCCCACTGGACGGGGCCTCCTTCTCAGACGCCCTCTCAGTGTTGTTCCCGGGCCACAAACGCAATTACCCACGATGCGCAGCCAATCACCAGGTCTGCTCAGATTAGACTGCGGTCATTAATCTGAGCGGGACTCCTGGCTGCCTGGCTGATTAGCCCAGATGATGCTCTGGTCTGATCCAATTAAAGCAGACCGGGCCTCCCCACTACACACACACACACACACACACACACACACACACACAGCCCATATCAGAGGGAACCAGTACACTTCATGAACACATCCTCATACACAAACACAACCTTCCAAACCTTAGGGGACTGGCAGGCTCGCGCCCTCCCTGCCTCACAGGTGCGCCTCCCTTTGTCCCACTGCCCCTCTGTGGCCCTGCAGGGGCCGGGGACTTCTCTACTCTTTCTTCACCTGTGGTTTTGAGAGGGGCTGTGGTGGGGGCTCCCAAAAGTCAGTGTGGGCACTAATCTCAGTCAAAAGGGTCTCATTACATTTATTGACATGAAATGCCAACTCCCCGAAGTGCTTCAGAGCAGCCGGACTGCCACAGGCAGGCAAATCTAATTAAAATCACTGAGTTCCCTCCCAGTCATGCAGGAGGGCTGTAGAGAGGGCAGCTGGTACTAATGGGAGAGGTGTGGTGTGAGAGACAACCTGGGGCAGGCAGGAAGGGCTGCAGAGGGGAGAAGCTGGGGGTGTTGATGACATGAGATGCAGGGTCACCATGTTTGCTGGGCAGTTGGGGGGCCACCTGCAGAGATAACCTGGGCAAACACCAAGGGGTGTGGGGTGGTCAGCTTGAGGGAGAGGTGAACATTGGGTGTGAAGGTGAACAGGAAGGAGTGACATCCTGATGGTCAGTTCCCACAAGGGGGGGTGGCTGTTTCCCCTGCAGCCTGGCCTGGGGGTGGGGGTGAAGGGCAAGGGGAAGGAACCTGGGGTTCTGGGAAGGGCTATGGAGCCCATGGAGCAGTTGGTAGCCAGGGGACCGCTATGGTTTGAGCCAGATGTGGTGCCAGGTACTCACATGGCTGTCTCGTGAACCCTTATAACTGCTGATGAAGCCCTGCCGAGAAACTAAAGCTCAGAGGCAAGTGCACCCCCTAATCTGGGGACCCCTCTAGACTTGAATCTGACCTGAGTACAGGGCCCAGCCCCAGGGCTCTGGGAAGGTGCCCAGGACCAGTCTTGAGTGGGCATGTGCATCACCTGGGGTCTTGTTAAAGTGCAGATCGTGCATCCCGAGGTCTGGGGGAGCTGAGATTCTGCATTTCTAATCAGCTCCCAGGTGCCACCACGCTGCTTGCTGTGCCCGTCCTTGGAGCAGCAGTAATCCGTGCAGCATTGTGGCTGTACACCCCCGCCACCCCCCACGTCATCGGGCCACCAGGCAGTTCCAGAGGCCATGATACTCTCCTCTCCCTTCTCACACCCCGCAGGGCACCAGCCACCATACAGTTAATTTACGGGTGGCAATGAAGCCGCATCTCCATGCCCAGCTCTGGTTCCTGGCATTCCCAGAACACATCAGGTCTACCCTGCCTGCAGGTCCTACTCTACTCGCTGCTCCTCCCGTGAGCTCTCTTACTGGCCTTTAAGATCAAACTCATACATTCTCTCTGTGAAGCCTCTACTGTTAAAGCTCTGACCACTGTGTTGGTTTCTTTTGGGGGGAGACAGAGACCAGCCCATGCACTTATCTTTTTAGGGGTTTCCTCTTTCCCCAAGAGTCCAGCACATATAATAGCAGGGATTCAATAAGAGTGTGATGGGAAGGAGGGCAGGGATGACAGGAGTGCCGACTCCCATGATGGGGGAGGCTGGCTGGTCCCCTAGAGTCTAATAGGGACTGTGGCCAGATCCTGGTGTTCTTTGGGGTCCAAGGTGGAGTTTCCTGCCTGCAGGCAGCCGGGCCGGGCCTTGCATTGCGGTGGGCGGGCAGGCCCTGTGATGTATCTTTCCTCAGGCCTGGCAAGCTCCCCTGTACCAGGATCTATGGATCAGAGCCCACTGTTCTGGACTCCCCACTGTTAGCATTAGAGGCCGTCAACTCATCTGAGTAACTAAAAATAATGCCAATGATAATGATAATAACAGCAATAATCACCACCATTACCATAAAGGCACTGTCATCTGGGGGGTGGGGAGTGAGGAAGAGGGAATCAATCTTCTTCCTCTCCACCCTGGGTGGCCCATCGCACATGTTACTGACATTAGCACCTGCTGCAGTGTGTGCCCAGCCAGAGGTAAGCCGAGCTCACTGATGCACCTGAATGCCTACACTCACACAGCGAACGTGAGCCAGGGTCCAGCCTCAGAACTGAGTGTGGCCCAGGCATCTTCTCTTAGTGGATGAATGAGAGTTCAGTCCCTGCGGGAGTCTCATTCAGTCCCGCTCTCAGATGATGCCAGCTTCTTCCCAGCCACAGACGTAAACAGTAACTTCCCTGAGCTCCTCCGCCCTCTGGACCATTCTGGGCTCACCCTGGTGCATGGGCTGGTGTAGAGCAAGATGGAATGAGTTCCTGCTCTCCGCCCCCACCTGGGGGAGGTGCCAGGACCTACACAGCTGCACACACACACCTGTTGCTAAAAACCCAAGATGACCATGAATCAAAATGTGGTTCCAGGAACAGCTGCATTGGAGTCACCAGGCATGCTTTCACAAGTTCATGTTGCTATAGCCTGACCTATGGACTCAGCATGTCTGAGCATGGAGCCCACAACATGCATTTAACAAGCTCTCCAATGACTATCAGGCACACTAAAGCTCGCATCATACCAGGTGCTAGATGGTGTGATAGATGCACAGAGCTCTTGCTGGAGTAAAGGCAACAGTGAGACGAGGCAGACAGCAGTCCCCAGGCAGCTGCCTGGTTGCTGAGTGGAAGGTTTCTGGCTCATTCGGGCTCATCTCCCCAACTGGGATGAAGAAGGGCTCCCTCTGGAAGATACTGCCCAGGCCCTCTTATCCCTCACTAGACAATTCCAGGGTGCTAGCGCCAACCCCAGTGGCCAGCTGAGGGATCTCCGGATTGATCTGAGAGAGAAGGCTGAGAAGGAAGCAGTTGCTGGTCATTGTCTTTGACGAGCCCACCCACTGGCTTGCAGTCTCATTTCTCACAGCTCGGGCCTGAGGCTGGCTGGGGCTTCTCAGTACAGCTGAGGTGTCTCCTACCTGTACACAGCTCGCTTGTCAGCCTCCAGCTGGGCCTGGGGGTCAATGGGGGCACTGGGCACAGGAGTGCTGGCAGCAGCAGTGGGTGCGGAGATATGGACAGCCTGGGCCTTAGAGGGTGTCTGGGCAGTTGCCGTCATCTGCAGAGAGAAGAAAGAGGAGGTGGCGGTTAGTGTGGCCAGGACACCTGGCTGGAATGGCTAGGGCTGCCTTGCCTGTGGTGTGTGTGTGGATAACAGAGTGTGTGGAAGGGAACTGTGCATGTATAATGCGTGTCCATTTGTATATGTGCTATAGTCGGGAGAAAGCAGGTCTTTCTTCAAATGAGAATGTTCCAGAGAACAATACAGGGACATTCAAAACCAGGTGGTGCACAGCACACTTTAAAAGAGATGATTGTTGCCTGGCCAGTGTGGCTCCTGACCTATGAACCAGGAGGTCACGGTTTGATTCCCAGTCAGGGCACATGCCTGGGCTGCGGGCTCGATCCCCAGTTGGGAGTGTGTAGGAGATGGCTGATCTATGATTCTCTCTCATCATTGACATTTCTATCTCTCTCTCCCTCTCCCTTAAAAAAAATTTTTAAAGAAAGAGATCATTCTTAATGCAAACTAAGGTGGTGACCTCTGTCTAGAAGCAGAAAAAAAAAAATGATGAGCCCTTTAAATTGTGCCGATGAGTCATCTGGGATGTACTGGACAGTGTTAAGTTTGATAACTTGAAGAGGAGGAAAAAATACCAGTAGCTGAGCTGTTCTCATTTGGGGAGGTCTATTCCATGTAACACAAGCCAGAGGTAACTGTTTTAATGGTTTTGATTGAAAACTGAATGGTCCCCAGATTTGGTTGACCTGGGCACTTGAAGATAAGCGGGTTTTAGCAACACTGCACAGGCTTCTGTTCTTAACCCTCACAAATATTTAGTTAGAGCAGTTGTTTTCATCCTGTTAGGGCAGTGGTTCTCAACCTTCTGGCCCTTTAAATACAGTTCCTCATGTTGTGACCCAACCATAAAATTATTTTTGTTGCTACTTCGTAACTGTAATGTTGCTACTGTTATGAATCATAATGTAAATATCTGATATGCAGGATGGTCTTAGGTGACCCCTGTGAAAGGGTCGTTCGACCGCCAAAGGGGTCGCGACCCACAGGTTGAGAACCGCTGCTCTAGGGCCTTAATGTATTTTTTTTATAATCAGAGAAACTCCTTTTAATATTATATATTGAATTTCCTGTATAAGATTTCATTTGAAGAAATGATTAAATGGCTTTAAAACTGCTGATAACCATCACTACAGAAGATAATGCTTTTATGTTATATTTCCTTTAGTCAGAGGGATCCCTCAAATGTCGTGAATGGTGACATGTCTCGCCTGTCTGTCGCACCGAGACAGCGCTGCCCCGGTGCCGTTGGGCTCATAGACTTGTCTGCCTCCTGCACTAAAGCTTCGCCCACACCCTCACCCCCAGCACCCATCCCCGACACAGAGTAGACGCTTAGTGTTTGTAGAGAAAATAAATGAGAGGGTAAATGAATGAATCCACCTCAAAAGCAGCAGGTATTTTATAGCTTAAAAGTTTATCATATGCTCTAGGTCCCCGCTTTCTGGAAGAAAAAGTATTGTACTTCCACAAACACAGCACAGTATTGCTGGTGTCGATATCCCCAAGACATCTGCTATCTCGTTCTCTCCATTTAAGTCTCTGCTCAGATATCAAGTCTTCAGAGTAAAGAGTCCCTTCGCCCCTTGCAACGCCCTTCCTCTGTCTTATTTCATAGCCTTTATCATGACATGCACTACATGTCTAGTTGCTTAGTTCAATCTCTCCTGCCCTCAACTAAAATTCAAGCTCAAAAGGACTGGACTAACAGTTATATTCCTATGGCTCCGAATTGCCTGACACTAGTAGAGACTCAATAAATACTTGTTGAACCAATAAACTGAATGAATGAATGAATGAATGAATGAAGGATGGGTAGTGAATGAGATTGAGACTATAAAAGGACTGTATCTGCTTTACTATACTGTGTCCCCATCATTTTTTGTTAGGATGAAATAGCTTTGCTATTGTTGCCCAAGCTGGGGAAACTTTCCCAAACTCAGTGCACAAGAGGCTAGACAGCCATCAGGGTACCTGGAGCCCTACTGACTTGTTATTAGCTTTTGGCCTTGGACAAATCCCTTAATTCTCCCACCCTCCTATTATCTTATCAGTCAGCACATTGGTGCCCTTTTAGGATTTGTGAGTATTAAAGAGATGCGATAAGGAAGAAAGTAGAAATAAATGTTCCAATATTTAAAAGAGAAAGAAGGTGGAATCAGAAATACTAAATATTGCTAATGTCCACAGTAACCTGGGCCAGTTTCTTGCATTCACAAATGCAACGGATTATTTCTCCAAATGCTACTCCGTTCCCTGCCGTGTACTGGGCACTGAGCTGGGCACTAGGGTCACAGGGCCGAGTGCCTGCTATAATGAGGCTCAGCTTCTGGATTTAACACGCCTTCTAAGCTGGCAGATGGGGCAGATGTGGTAGACATGGACGGTGTAAGTGACCTCAGCCTGGTACCTCCCCGATATCCTTGTGGGAAACATGGAGAGACGTGCTGGGTGGACAGTTGTGTGAATTAGTCAGCTTCCCCCAAAGGACAACAACTGCAGGGTAGGTGTCAGGTTGAGGAAGGCTTCCAGGAGAGGGAATATGCTTTCTGCCTGGCCCTCCTCTTCAGTACTCTCTCCCTGACTTAGAGGATGTCTCTCGAAATGCTTAACAAACATGGGTGACAGGAAACTGATCCAAAAGATCTTTATAGATGTTGGCAACACTCTGAGTCTAACAAGATTCATTTTCATCTAATAAGTCGGCACTTAACACATTTAGCACTTCGGCCCCCCAAAAAAAATCAATAATTTAAGTGCCGAAGAGGGGAGACACAGTTCAGCGGCAGTTTTTGTTGACGGCAGGCTCATTATGTCCGAAGTGTAATATGTCTGTCGAACAAACAAACGCGAAAACTAGCCTCAGCTAACGCTGCACTCAGAGGCCCAGTCCGCACAAAACCTCCAGTGCCACCCATGGTGCTGGGACGGGGGCAGGAGGTACGTTTAGAGGAGTGTCGACCGGGGAAGGGACCCTGCACTGCGCCGTATGAGGACTATGGGAAGGAATCTGAAATGTTAAGAGGGGGACGATGGAGAGACCTGAAAGGCCCTCTGGTAGTCTGAAAGAAAGATTCAATTCTGTCCTGTATGCCCCGAAGGATCAAATTACAAACAGGGCATCAGATCTCTCTAACGTGGGGACAGATCTGGGCTCACCCCAGGTAAGTTCCCACCGCCTAGCTCTCCAAGGCAGAATAGGCTGTCTCCAGGGGGGTGAGTTTCCACTACTACAAGGCCATGCAGAAATGGCTGATCAGCTGAGCCCCCGTGTGGGTCAGGAAGCTTTCTAGGTGGGTGGTGGGTTAGGTGGCATCTGAAGTCCTTTCCAACACCGGCAGGCTCAGACGGGAGCATGCTTTAATGACCACTATTCCCCGCAGAGAGTTGGGGTGGGGCGCGGATCCGATGATGCATCGTGGGAAAAAGGGCTCTGGGAGCTCTGAAGTGCTCCAAGGGTGGAGGGTGGTGCTGTTATTGACCACGAGATTGCCAGGATGTGCTTCTTTCCTACAGCGAGGCGTGGCTGTGTCTGCACAGCCCATTCAGGGGTGAAATACAGGCCAGGCTGGTGCCCCGCTCTGCCCACTCAGGGAGAATTTCCTCGTGCACTTGAAGGTGAGCGAGGAGACAGGGCTGAGGGGCTCCCCCTCCTCTCGTCTCCCCTTTCCAGGCAGGGCTTTGGGGAAGGTTGGGGAGGCCTTTCCGGTTATAGAGGAGAGCTCAGAATAAAGTGTAATCAGAGGTGGCCACACTCTAGGACCCCAAGAGGCCCGGCTGAGAGGCTATTGCTGGGGCTCAGAAGTGGGAGGGGTAAGAGGGCAGAACTAGTCTCGGGAGGATGGTGACTCATTTATTTAGCTCCTGGGGGCCAATTCAGCAAACTCTGTATTTTCTCCAGGTCTGGAGAGTGTGTTCATCTCCAAATACTAGTAGATTTCCTTTTCTAGCCAGACACACCCTTGCTCAGGAACTGGGGCTCAAAGGGAAAGGCCCAGCAGCTGTCCCTAAGGTCTGGGGCGGGGGGTATGGTGACTTACGGTGAATTTGGGGGTGGTTACCTGGAAGTACAGCCTGAAGAGCAGGAACGGGGAGAGACTGGATGGACTAGGACAGAGTGTGACTGCTAAATGACTGCTTGGAGCTCCCTGGTTCTGGCCTATGAAAGCCAACTTAAAAAAAAATTTTTAAAATTGATTTCAGAGAGGAAGGGAGAGGGAGAGAAACACAAATGATGAAAGAGAATCATCGATCGAACCAGGACCTCCTGGTTTATAAGCTCATGCTCGGCCGCTGAGCCACATCAGCTGGGCATGAAAGCAACATAAATCTTCAGTAGTTTTGCAAGATGTTAATGTTACATTGGAGCTTGAAATTGTCTGTGGTGGGAGCATGTATACCATAGAAATAGCAAATGCTGCAAACCCAAGCCTCTTCACCACCCACAGCTCTGCGTATAGGCAGGCAAAACCCGGGGGCTGGCAGTCTAGTCTGACCAGGAAGTGAGCAGATGCTCCAGGGTGAGGGGAGGCTGGGAAGCAGCACACCTGCCTGCCGGCCTCAGGTGCTCTTATTGGCACTGGAATGCCCAACTGATGCTTTCTTTTCTGTTAAGCATCATCCTTGTGCAATTGTAGGGGGAGTGGGCACCTTGTGTTCTAACGAGCCAATAAAACATTTCTGCAAGCTTTAGTGCTTAACAATAATCTGTGCAATAGGTTAGTGTGATCCCCATTCTACTAATATGTATGAGAAAACAGAAGCCCACAGGAGAGGTGAAGAAACTTCTAGAGATCACAGTTTTTGCAAACGTTGGGGGCAAGAGTCAAGGGCTTTCTGATTAAAGCACACCATGTGAATTATTGTATGTAATTACTTTTCTTAGAAGAGGAGAATGGGAAGAT